CGAGGGGTGGTGATGGTAAGCGGTGGATGGCAGTGGTAGTGGTGGGCGGGTGATGGTGAGCAGCGGAGGTGGTGATGATGGTAATGGTGGGAGTAGTAGTGGGTGGTTATGATGGCTGTTGGTGGCGAAGGTGTTTGATGGTTGTGGTGGTGGTGGTGGCAGCGGGTAATGACGGTGATGGTGGTAGTGGACTCTAGTGGTGGTGCGTAGTGGTGTTTATTGGGGGGAGGGGGGGCCACAGTAGAATAATAATGGTAATAAATATAAAAATTAGATAATTGTGGAGGTTTTTAAATAAATTTCTAAGTATTTTTGCCGAGCGTTGATTTTATAAATTTTTTATCTTAAAAGTGTTGAAGCTAGACCTAAAATAAAAAATGTGACTGTGTACCTCTTATCAAATCTCCCTAAACTTTATNGGAAGTTTTTAAATAAATTTCTAAGTATTTTTGCCGAGCGTTGATTTTATAAATTTTTTATATTAAAAGTGTTGAAGCTAGACCTAAAATAAAAAATGTGACTGTGTACCTCTTATCAAATCTCCCTAAACTTTATTACTCTTATAACTACCACATTTAATTACTATCCTTAAATGGAATTTTACTATTTTTATTTGATGTCTTATAATATATTATTCTGATTATATTAATAATTATATGTATCTCACCAGTCACCATTACATTTAATATTCATTCTTGTAGACTTGGAGTTGTTAATTAACTTTACCCAAACCTAAATCCCGACGATAATCCCATCCATTGCCACTTGTAAAATCAACTGACAAGTGCCACAACAATCACCCTCTGCTAAGCATCCATACATATCAATTATGTAACGGAGATTGGCAGTCTTTTGAAATCCTACAGAGAGAGAGATCCTGAGCCATGTTTCTAACAAATGCATGTTCATGCTACTCCCCCTTAAGAAATCTTCCTCGACATCAAGGTACGTCTGTTTCAATTCCCCACATCATCTCTTCTTTCAATTCTTATTCAATTTTTTTTTTCCTTTGAGGCTCTTTAAACATTGTCTGTCATTTTTTTCTCTTAATTTAAATTTGACTCCAGTTATATATTTAAGACCCTCCCTTTAAAAAAAAAAAAATAAGACCCTCCTCAATTATATATATTCCATCACCACTTATGTTTCTGGTTTTTTTTTTCTTTTTCTTTCACTAAATTCTAACATTTTCAAGGACCAGTTTGAAAAGAGAAGCGTAGTAACTAATGTAACTCAACTAGCCGTGGCAACCGAAAATTGAAAGAGAATCAAGGGTGATGAACTAGACTAGACCAAGATAGTTTCATAATAAATGATTAAATTTTGGCACAAAATGACTAAATCAAAAATTAAGATGATCCAGCTCCTTCATGACATCGCCAAAAGATGAAATATTTGGAGAAATTGAGTTTCATCTACAAAATGACCCAATTGGTCACCCCTATATTCTTGGTCCTCGATCATTAGTTTCCATGCTTCAATTGGGCTAACTCGCAAATAGTAATATTACATTGACCAAAAAGAGGACAAAAAATAGAGTTTAAATGATATGACATTGACATGGTAAGTGAATCTTAAATTTTTAATGAATGAAAGTGCGACCAAAAAAAAATTAGGAGATTTTTCACTGTTTTTTTGTAGTGGGTGGGTGGCGACTGTGCTAGTGTTGGTTGGTGACGGCTATGCAAATCGATAATGATGGGTAATGGTAACGACAGATGATGGTGATTTTTGGCAATAGTGATGGCGGTGGGTGATGATGGACAACGGTGGTTAGTGGTGGAGGGTGGGTGTTGGGCGATGATGATGGTGGGCGGTGGTGGTGGGTTTTAGGTGATGGTGGTTAGCGGCAATAGGTAATGGTGGGTGGAGATGATTGGCAGCAATGGGTGGTGGGTGACGGTGGTTAATGGCAATGGAGGGTGGTTGACTAATTTTTCACTGTGTTTGTAAACTATGAGTTTCATTATGTTAAAGTTCACTGTTTATGTTTTTTTTCAATATTTTTGAGTTCATTAGTTTTCACTGTTTTGGGTGGTGGGTGAGTGGTGACTGTGGCATTGGTGGTTGGCCATAATAGTTTCGACGAGTGATGGTGGTTTTTGGAGACAGTGATGATGGTGGGTGGGTGTTGGGCGATGGTGGTGATGGTAATGGTGGTGGTGGCGGCTTTGGTTGGTGGTGATGGTTTATGGCGGCGACGGTGGTCGTGTGTATTGGGTGATAGCGGTGGGTGACAATAATAATGGTAATGNGGCGATGGTGGTGGGTTTTAGGTGGTGATGGTAATGGTGGTGGCGGCGGCTTTGGTTGGTGGTGATGGTTTATGGCGACGACGGTGGTCGTGTGTATTGGGTGATAGTGGTGGGTGACAATAATAATGGTAATGGTGACAGAGGCAAACAGTGGCAGCGACTATGGGATGATGATGATAATAGCGATAATAAATATAAAAATAGAATAATGGTTGAAGTTTTTAAATTACCTCATTCATTAAGAGTATTTTTGTTGATAGTTGATTTTATAGACTTTTAACATTAAAAATGCTATCTTGTGTGACAACACTACGTAGCGAGTGACTCTTTTAGATGAACAACTGTGTGACAACACTACATAAAAAGCGTTTCTTTCATGTAAGATGCTATAATCTCATTGCCCTTACGTGATAGTGATGAGTTTCACGCATTCTAAATTTGGCGCATGTGTTATTAGAAAGATTGACCGCTTGGATCTATAACAAAAAAGTCGCTGAGTGTATATATCTCCCACCAAATCTCCCTAAACTTTATTATTCTTATAACTATCACATTTAATTACTATCCTGAAACGGAATTTTACTATTTTTATTTGATGTTTTGTAATTTATTATTATGAAAANATTACGTAGCGAGTGGCTCTTTTAGATGAACAACTGAAACGGAATTTTACTATTTTTATTTGATGTTTTGTAATTTATTATTATGAAAATAATAATAATGATATATAACTCACCAGTCAGTCACCATTACATTTAATATTTATTCTTGGAGTTAATTAATTCTACCCAAACCAAAATCCCGATGATAATCCCATCCATTGCCACTTGTAAGATCAATTGACAAGTGTCACAAGAATCACTCTATGCTAAACATCCCCACATATCAACTATGTAACGGAGATTGTGAGTGTTTTGAAATCCTAGAAATAGGGGGAGAGAGAGAGAGAGAGAGATCCAGAGCCATGTTTCAAACAAATGCATGTTNACTTGTAAGATCAATTGACAAGTGTCACAAGAATCACTCTATGCTAAGCATCCCCACATATCAACTATGTAACGGAGATTGTGAGTGTTTTGAAATCCTAGAAATAGGGGGAGAGAGAGAGAGAGAGATCCAGAGCCATGTTTCAAACAAATGCATGTTCATGCTACTCCCCGTTAAGAAATCTTCCTCGACAGCAAGGTACGTCTGTCCCAACACCATATCTTCTTTCATTTTTTATCCACATTTTTTTTTTCTTTGAGCCATTTTTGAACATGCTCTGTCATTTTTTCTCTAAATTTAAATTTCACTTCGGTTATATATGTAAGACCCTTTTTTTTTTTTTNTTTCTTTGAGCCATTTTTGAACATGCTCTGTCATTTTTTCTCTAAATTTAAATTTCACTTCGGTTATATATGTAAGACCTTTTTTTTTTTTTTGAAAACTATATATATATATATATACACATTAAGGTAACCGTGCGGTATAATGTGGATGATTTTGAGGGGATGTTGGTGGCCGTTAGAGGAGTTGAGACTGTGTTTTATATTATAGATATGTATCGGTTCCATCATCGCTTCTGTTTCTGGGTTTTTTTTTTTCTTTNTGAAAACTATATATATATATACACATTAAGGTAACCGTGCTTGAGCGTGCGGTATAATGTGGATGATTTTGAGGGGATGTTGGTGGCCGTTAGAGGAGTTGAGACTGTGTTTTATACTATAGATATGTATCGGTTCCATCATCGCTTCTGTTTCTGGGTTTTTTTTTTTCTTTCACTAAACTCTTATCTTTTCAAGGACTTGTATGAAAAGAGGAGCATAGTAACGTATGTAACTCAATTAGACGTGGCAACTGAAAAATTGAAAGAGAATCGTGGGTGATGAACTAGACTATAGTGAGATAGCTTAATAATAAATGATTAAACTTGGCACAAAATGGATACTTGAGATGGTCTGGCTCCTTCATGACATCGGCAAAATAAATGATTAGTTTCCATGATGCTTCAATTGGGCTAACTCGCAAGCAGTAATATTACGCTGATAAAAAAGAGGACAAAAAATAGAGTTAAAATGACATGACAGTTGACATGTTAAGTAAATCTCATATTTTTAATGAATAAAAGTCTTAGTGTATTTTGGTGATACCTGGCTTAGCATGTTAATTTCACTTAATAAATGGGTTGACATGCACGTGGTTATATATGATACAAATCCGATGTGATACAACTATAGATTTACCGTGAATGAATTGAGTGAACTTCACCACGGCATGTACACGACACAAGCCATTACCACTCCTACAAAAATTTACAGTAGCTACTGCATTTAAACCCTGCTTATCAAGTAGGAGTGTGGTTGGGGCTCGTATGAGGTGGATGTTTCTCTCCTTTGTACTGAAACTATTGATGCTAGACTGAGCAAAGGCTGATCACAGTTTCAAAAATTGAATAAACTCCTCAAGGGTAGACTTCAGTGCCCACAAAAGTGTTTTTAATACTGTAATACTGTAGTAAAACCGCAAGGTTAGGTTATCTTACACAAAAATGAGGTTGTTTGGAATCAATCCTAATATTTTAGGATCGGTTCTAACTTTTTTTGTCATAATTTGACACTATTTAGTTGTAACTTGATCAAAAAATGTTGTACTTTCTAATACGCCGCGGTCTTCCAAATTCTTAGTACCCTGCTAGTTCTCACAGGTGGGCATCATTGAAAAGGGTGAACTACTTGTTGTCCTTTTACTAAGGCCTAAAGTATGGAAATTAGCTTGTGTTATGCCCCACTTGAAGTAACAGAAACGCAAGGTTAGAACAAATAGCAGATTCATTGTCAACACGGACTGGAATGATCTTGTGGGAGCACACTTATAAAACCTTGCTGGTTGTTTGGATTTCATATGACTGTTTACAATAAATGCAATAATTCATGAACTTGTGCAGGTTTTGTCACCCCATTTCGATTGCCAGGGAAGCATCTGCAAAATTGCAGGAACGTACACCATTGGGGGACACCTCTTGGATGTTGTGGCCAAAGATTTTTAACTTTAGCTAATAATCTGAGAAGTTACAAAGAGCAGAAAACACCCAATAAGCATAAACTAGCCAAAAGAAGCATTTTTTCTGGCAAGCTAGAACATAAGCATGCATCGGCACCTAAGAATGGTAATTTGACAACATTTCAGACTGATCTATGTGAGCGATTGTATGCGTTCTACCGGTTTTCTCGTCCACACACTGTGATTGGTACTGTGAGTTTGATCTCCTCATATTTCTTGAGAAGTAGGAGTTAATAGCAAAGAAGTCACTTTGAATCTAGTTGAATTGATGAGTTAATTTTTTTTTTTTTTTGTGATCTACCAGGTAATAGGAATAACTTCAGTTTCTCTTCTTCCTTTAGAATCAATGGCAGATCTGTCTCTGGCATTCTTAGTTGGACTTTTGAAGGTAAACATTTCTGTTCTGAAGTAATGAGTTAAAGAACTTCTTTGGTGTTGTAACTCACATCTTTGTTAATTTCGCATTGTAGGCATTGATCCCGTCAATATTGATGAATATTTATGTGGTGGGACTAAATCAATTGTTCGATGTTGAAATAGACAAGGTAAAAGAGTTACACTCACTGCTCACATTTTATGTTTCATATGTTTGTCTTCTACTTGATTTTTTGTACATATTCTTAGATCAATTATACATTTTATTTGTATGTTTTTCTGCTTCTCTGTGCATGTTTATTAGGTAAACAAACCCAATCTTCCACTGGCTTCTGGAGAATTCTCTGTGGGAATAGGAGTGACAATTGTTTCAACATGTCTTTTGATGGTTAGTAATCCCTCTAGTATGTGTTAAATTTAATATTCAAATACAGATTGATATAAAACGTTATGTCCCAGTCAATTCAGAGCTTATGGAGTGTATCAGGATGCAATTAAACCCGACAAGTTTCATTTGAGAATTAACTTAGTGCCAAACTCTTGGCTTGTTTCCATATATATATATATATATATATATATATATTTTGTTTGAATCTCCATAATAAGAATTGAAGTTGTGTTTGGCTGTCCAGATATTCTAGCTACTCGAATGACGGTCAACTAATCTAATCGAGAATCTTTATGGGACACAGGCATGGTGTTCTTTGTGACAGAGCATCTAAGTTTTTAATTTCTCTTGCATAATGTTTCAGAGTTTTGCCATTGGAATCATGTTTCAGTCACCACCATTGTTTTCTGCCCTTCTCATAAGCTTTCTACTTGGCAGCGCATATTCTGTTGAGGTAAGTTCCATATATATATATTGACATATAATACCAATGCATGATTTAAATTAATTATAAGTCCAACAAGAAACAACTTAAATGAGGAGCCATCTTTTTACACTACAAGATTATAGGAATGAATACCAGGTATGACAACTTCATATTAATCTATATTTAGAGGTACTATAAGTTATAGGCTGAGAACATGCACAAACATAACCATGGTCTCTGGCAGGAGCAGAGCCAGGTTTCTCGATTAGGAGGGGTAAAATACTACTAAAAAAATTGACTAATTGATGCAATAAAATTTTAGGTCGTATAAAAGATTTCAAGATTTAAGGCTAAATTGTTATATGAAACTTTAAAACCAGCTTTTTTTGTCTAAACAAAACGGGTACAAAAAAAAAAGAAATTATTTCAACCCAATCATTTATGGAAGTAGAGCACAATATTCTTTCAAATCTCACTCACAAGTTGATGACAAAATTATCTCTAATTTTTTTTTTGTGACACTTAGTTGAAATAGCAAAAAATATTTTTGGATTAAACCTCAGGCTACTAACTTACAGAAAAATAATTGAGAGCACTTGTATAATTACTATCTATCAGTTCCTCTCCTTTTAGTCGAGTGGCTTCGCTCCTCCCGCAGATGAAATAGTTCACAACCTTCTTCTAGTTTTCTTGGAATCAGCTGAGCTTCACTATGAACTAATAGACTGAAATTAGCATATAATAAATGATGTATTATAAGTATAGTGAAACCAATATCCCAGTTATTAAGTCAAAAGAGAGGTCATAGCTTGTATAAGATCCAACAAAATCCTACTAATCCCGAACCACGAACTAACTAAAAACAAAAAGTTTATTACCACTATACAAAGTTTTAAAAATTTAGGAGGCGCAACTTCTTAAAATGAACAAAATTTTGGTCCCAAACTATTACTGTATAATGGGGTTTTCCACACCCTTGTCCGAAGGTGGCTCTACCCCTAGTCTCTAGAATTAGTTGTATGGGTGTGCTTTTGTGTTATTGTGCATGCTTCCATGCAAGGATAGTGCCACCTAGAGGGGAGTGGTGTCAATTGGCAACATTAAATTCAGAAATTTAATTTCATACAATAATCATATTCTAGGAAATATATGTGAAGGGTTTGTCTTGTCCCCTTTATTAGACCAAAATATCCTACCCCAATGATAAATTTGAGATGAAATTAAGACGAAATCATTGGAATTAGGGTTTAGGATTTTTAATTTGGGGACAGTTTGAGTCACGGCCTGTGATGGTTTGATGTAGTTCAGTCTATGGGAATGAATTGTTGAACAACCAGACCAGGAAAAATTCCTGGAGCTGCCACTGCTTGCTTGAGTGTCACTTTCACATCAGTTAATAGTCTAGGATGAAATATGATGAAACCATTGAAGTGCATGTCTTTGTATTTTCTTGTAGCTACCACTGCTCAGATGGAAAAGAAATGCATTCCTGGCTGCAACATGCATCCTCATTGTGAGGGCTATCGTTGTTCAACTTGCCTTCTTTATACACATTCAGGTATTTACAACCCCCCCCCCCAAAAAAAAAAAAAAAAAGTCCCCAACCAACAATATGCAAGTACCATGTCATTTAACACCCTCTCATATTTCAATTAATAACACAATTTAATATCTGCAGAAATACGTGCTTGGTAGATCAATAGTGTGTACAAAGTCATTGGTTTTTGCAGTTGCTTTCATGTGTTTATTCTCGACTGTTATTGCTCTTTTCAAGGTAACTTTCATGTGTGCTATATTTAGCAACACAATTTTGTAAGTTTCAATTTAGCAATTCAAGCTGCTAACATTGTTGTGAAGTAGTGTTGATGGTGGATGTTCGAAATTTTGTGTAAAAATATAAGGTTATCTCATGAAACTTTTAGTTATTTAGTTCATATATAATGGAGAAACACAGTTTTAGGCTCAACTAAAGTGACAAGTATTCATTTGGCTACTAGAACACAAATGTTTTTTCGAGCACCTAGACATGCATGAAGGAAGAACAAGTTGAAGTAGCTAAAAACCACTCAGAGAACTTAACGTTTTATGACAGTGTCTGTATCTTCAACTTTGAGGAAAAAGACCAAGACCCGGGTTAATGAAGAGTTTACAAGATGCAAAATGTGATTTTCTCTTAGTGTTTGTTTTTTTGGGATCCCAAATTCAACTTAAAACGTCAAGTACAAGCTTAATCATTTGATATAGAATGCCAAAACAAATACTATGTAAATATACAAACATATGCTCATCAGTGCCACAACAACTCGATGTATTAATTTACAAATGGCACAAATTCTAAGACAATTGTTTAGGCATTTGTGTCATGTTTTTTCGTAACATTCAAAAGTGTTTCTTTGCCGGCAGAGGATTACTAAATTATAAGGATTTTCGCCCATGTACTATGATGCTGAAATTTTTTCGCTCTGCTTGCCTTCCATTGGCTGGATTCATGCCTTGATATGCTACTAACAACACAGATGAATCATTTTTCATAGCTAGTTCAAAAGAGACATAATAAATTGTTACTGCTTGCTGCCAGTAATCACTCAATTTATAGCTTTCAATTATTAATACATGCTTCAAAACTGTTTACCCCATTCGTATGATGCTTAACAGGACATACCCGATGTGGATGGGGATAGAAATTTTGGCGTTCTGTCACTGAGTGTCAGGCTTGGACAAAAAAAGGTAAGTACAATCAAATTCCAACCTACGTAATTTTACATTTCGATACAACCACAACAACAGACCAAAAAAAAAACAGAACTTGTGAAACTTCTTATTATTCAATTATTGTTATCTCTTGACGCATACTCATGGCATTCAAATGTAGCATTTGTTTGAAGAAAAATGATCATGTATATGTTTCCTCAAAAAATTTCCTGTCACCTACATAGGTCTTTTGGCTTTGTATTGGCATGCTGTTAATGGCTTATGGAATTGCTGTGGTGATAGGAGTTTCCTCCTCATCTCTGCCAAGCAAATTTATCACTGTAAGTGAATATCTCTCTTCATCTATGTGTCTCATCATGATATATTTTGTTTGTAGGCTGTAGCTCATATGGCATACCTTGTGCAGGTATTAGGCCATTTTTCACTTGCTTCTTTTCTTTGGCTTCATGCTCGATCTGTTGATCCTGAAAATAAAGCATCAATAACTTCCTTTTACATGCTCATATGGAAGGCAAGTAAACCTATTTCTATTAGCCCACTGCACCAAATTGCTTGGCTATGAAAACAGTATGCTCAGTGTTAAACAAATAAAATTTTTCTTATTGTTTTTGCTGAACTTCATTTGAAGGTAAGTTTCCCAACAACATTCTATCCTCCTTAATCTTTAATGTGATGCATAATCTTCCATTCCGGGTATTTTAATTGATGACTGCCCAAGCTGCACTACGTACCCTTTGTTAAGGAATCACGTAGCAGTAGTCTCTCTTTATTCACCCCAAGAATGAAGTATCCTTTGTTTCATGGGATGGATTTCGTTAACACAGATAGGCCAGAAATGGTCTTTGCAAGTATCCTGCTTTCTGTTCAAGAATCGGTAACGGTTTTAAGGGAGACTATCAAACTCCACAATAAGCTCTTATCATCTCTATGCGAATTCTGACCTTAGCTTTTCGTCTTTGAGTAGTATGAGCGAAAGCTCGCTCAACTTAATAATTGCTGTCTTACTGGACTTGCTTACTAGCTGTGCCTTGGTAAATACTTATTTTATTTTTTATATGTTTTCTACCAATTGGTCAAATTAAAAATAGTTCTGGTAAATTGTATCAGTTGGATTTTGATCTACCTATTAACCATACTAGGCACCCAAAAACACATACTACAATAAAACAAATGATAAAGTTGTGATTAGTTGTCGTTACCTTTGAAACCGTTCTATGTTTCCATTGCAACAAATGTATGCTATATGTTTAGATTTTTATTTCGTATCATACTCAAACAAGCAATGGTATTGTTTTGCAGCTATTTTATGCAGAGTACCTCCTCATTCCTTTTGTACGTTGAGAAGGATAGCAGATTTTCGGGTGTCTAAAATCAATTCATGTGGTCCAAGCCATGTCTCGATGTGGAGCATACATTATAATTTGCAATTCAATCAACTTGTAATTTTGTAAACAAGCAATGCACAGGATGGTTAATCGAGCTGTGTTTGCAGCTGGTTATCTAGCATTGGCGGCACATGGTCTTCCTTTCTCCTCTCCCCGCCCGCCACCACAGTGGTGTTACTGGAAAACTAAGAATACCCTTATAGCTTTACAGACAAACCATAAATATCTATGGCTAAATTGTGTTTCAAGTTGAACTGATTCGGCCAGAGGGAGATGTTACAGCATATAGAGTTCTTACCCACATAGATTAAGCAGTTGCCATTGAGTTGCTGCAACTTTTTCAAGCTAGTATGAAAAGGTTGGAGTGTATATTAGCATTCCAATGTTTGATAATAGCTAGGATTAAGTGTTGAAAAAAAAATAAAATTTCACTTAAAGATTTATATAATCTATCAACCCTGACTCAGGATTAGACCTGGGTGGTGTCAGGGGTGGTGGTGGAGACTAGTGATGTAGTTCGGAATGAGAAATATAACTAAATATTCAAGAATAATAAATTCTACATTAATAGAATTAGGCATTCTACAATAATAAGAATGAATTGTCATTACTACATGTCAAACATTGAAATGAACATTATTAAGTAATGATCAGTCTATTCTCATGTTGCATTACCACCAACCAACAACAATGTGAAGGGAGTATAGATCTCATCTAACAAGAGGATTTTCAAACCAAAGCAAACGAGTTTCCACAATATGTGACGTTGATGTGAAATTGAAACAAAATGAAGTTAATAGACTAAAGTTTAATTTTTCAGTTCAAATAGTAAAATGGTGAATTTGCAAGTCCTATCACACATTTAGGTCAATAGTAATCGGTTAAACACAACATAATTTGGATAAATCCAGTTTAACCCAATTTATAGACAACAAGAACCCGACACAACACCAAGAATACAACTTCACACAATTATAAATAGAGTAAATTTTAATTTGACATACCTTGTAAGATTCAAAATTAACGATACAACAACATGATCCATTAAAAGCTCACTGATGACGTAATATAAGAATTAGACTGAATATTTTCTCGTGAGACTCATTCAACTAATTTTGCACCATGTTAGAGTTTTGTAGCTAGTTTACAATGGTTGAGTAACCCGCGCTGCCTGGACCTTGTGACGAATTTGGGCTTGAGCCTCTTTGTCATAGCAGTAATTCGCCGCATCCTGAGTAAGTATTCGTCACCGACCAACAAGAACTCACCTTTTCATTGAAAACTGGTTTCAACCAACCACCGCCACCTCAATTTGCCCTCCCAACTTATTTCCCAATTACAACTCGTCGGTTACATGTTTAGCTCACAGTCAGGTAGTCTAATCACTAATAGACCAATCTATAGATACACACAGTGCTTCTCCCTCCTAGGGTTTCGCTTACACAACTCGCGGCGTCTCTCTCAAATCGCGAAAATGGTAACTCTCTCTCTCTCTCTCTGTGAATTTGACGTTTTTGTATTGTTTTCCTCTCTGAATCTGGGTTTGTGCATTGTTACAGCCGTCGCACAAGACCTTTATGATCAAGAAGAAGCTGGCGAAGAAGCAGAGGCAGAATAGGCCCATCCCTCACTGGATCCGTATGAGAACTGATAACACAATCAGGTGCTCATTTCTTCATTCTTCATTCTTCATTCTCTCTCCCATCTATATCTTCATGCGTTTTGTGTACTTTCTCTGTCTAAATCTGAGTGTCTATTTGTGCGTATGCGTCTTTTTCAGGTACAATGCGNTTGATGTGAAATTGAAACAAAATGAAGTTAATAGACTAAAGTTTAATTTTCCAATTCAAATAGTAAAATGGTGAATCTGCAAGTCCTATCACACATTTAGGTCAATAGTAATCGGTTAAACACAACATAATTTGGATAAATCCAGTTTAACCCAATTTATAGACAACAAGAACCCGACACAACACCAAGAATACAACTTCACACAATTATAAATAGAGTAAATTTTAATTTGACATACCTTTTAAGATTCAAAATTAACGATACAACAACATGATCCATTAAAAGCTCACTGATGACGTAATATAAGAATTAGACTGAATATTTTCTCGTGAGACTCATTCAACTAATTTTGCACCATGTTAGAGTTTTGTAGCTAGTTTACAATGGTTGAGTAACCCGCGCTGCCTGGACCTTGTGACGAATTTGGGCTTGAGCCTCTTTGTCATAGCAGTAATTCGCCGCATCCTGAGTAAGTATTCGTCACCGACCAACAAGAACTCACCTTTTCATTGAAAACTGGTTTCAACCAACCACCGCCACCTCAATTTGCCCTCCCAACTTATTTCCCAATTACAACTCGTCGGTTACATGTTTAGCTCACAGTCAGGTAGTCTAATCACTAATAGACCAATCTATAGATAAACACAGTGCTTCTCCCTCCTAGGGTTTCGCTTACACAACTCGCGGCGTCTCTCTCAAATCGCGAAAATGGTAACTCTCTCTCTCTCTCTCTCTGTGAATTTGACGTTTTTGTATTGTTTTCCTCTCTGAATCTGGGTTTGTGCATTGTTACAGCCGTCGCACAAGACCTTTATGATCAAGAAGAAGCTGGCGAAGAAGCAGAGGCAGAATAGGCCCATCCCTCACTGGATCCGTATGAGAACTGATAACACAATCAGGTGCTCATTTCTTCATTCTTCATTCTTCATTCTCTCTCCCATCTATATCTTCATGCGTTTTGTGTACTTTCTCTGTCTAAATCTGAGTGTCTATTTGTGCGTATGCGTCTTTTTCAGGTACAATGCGAAGCGTAGGCACTGGCGTCGTACCAAGCTTGGGTTCTGAGATGGGTAGTGGAATTCACAGTTACTTAGCTTTGTTTTGATCGGAATTCGACTTTGTTTAGTTGTTGCAAGGACAAGGGTTAAGAATTCGATGTTCTTTGTGTTGATTTGAGGTTAATTTTAAGGAACCGACTCATAGGAGTCCTTCATAAGATATCTTATTGTTGTTTATTTGATATCGTCTAATGTTGGAAATCATGGCATAGACTTCATGTATTGTATTGGGTTTTTGTTTTCATTAACTGGAAAGATGGCTTGAATCCGTTTTCTGCACAGGATTTGTGGATTGTTGTTTTTCGAGTATATTGGTGAAAAAGATTATTGTTCACTTGGTCACTGTTCGTGGACTCTGTACATAGCTAACTTTAGGTATGGTTTGCACAAAGTGAATTCTCTCATATTTGGACCCACAACCTTTACATTGTTCGATTGAACATACAACCACTGCAATGAATAATGATCCATTTTTGAGTATCTTGGTCCACTTACTAATTTGGAATGTGCGTGTTTGTTATTGTTTCTTTTCTATTTCCCTTGTTCTGGTAATATGGTTTAGGCTTATTTTCTTCATGTTGTTTGATGATGGTTCTAAGTTATTACTTGTTTGCAATTTTGGAAAGATGGGTTGGTTTAGTTGATGTGTGGATGGTTTTGTTCTTCTCATGGGTTATTAAGTTGAATTGATAAAAGTGGTTTCAAATTCTTTTTTTGTATGGTTTGCTCTGCTTTATTGTATCTTAATTCATGTTTTTTGATTAAACTAGAACATGGTGTATTTATACTTTTTGTTTCACATGTTTGAGCNATTGTTACAGCCGTCGCACAAGACCTTTATGATCAAGAAGAAGCTGGCGAAGAAGCAGAGGCAGAATAGGCCCATCCCTCACTGGATCCGTATGAGAACTGATAACACAATCAGGTGCTCATTTCTTCATTCTTCATTCTCTCTCCCATCTATATCTTCATGCGTTTTGTGTACTTTCTCTGTCTAAATCTGAGTGTCTATTTGTGCGTATGCGTCTTTTTCAGGTACAATGCGAAGCGTAGGCACTGGCGTCGTACCAAGCTTGGGTTCTGAGATGGGTAGTGGAATTCACAGTTACTTAGCTTTGTTTTGATCGGAATTCGACTTTGTTTAGTTGTTGCAAGGACAAGGGTTAAGAATTCGATGTTCTTTGTGTTGATTTGAGGTTAATTTTAAGGAACCGACTCATAGGAGTCCTTCATAAGATATCTTATTGTTGTTTATTTGATATCGTCTAATGTTGGAAATCATGGCATAGACTTCATGTATTGTATTGGGTTTTTGTTTTCATTAACTGGAAAGATGGCTTGAATCCGTTTTCTGCACAGGATTTGTGGATTGTTGTTTTTCGAGTATATTGGTGAAAAAGATTATTGTTCACTTGGTCACTGTTCGTGGACTCTGTACATAGCTAACTTTAGGTATGGTTTGCACAAAGTGAATTCTCTCATATTTGGACCCACAACGTTTACATTGTTCGATTGAACATACAACCACTGCAATGAATAATGATCCATTTTTGAGTATCTTGGTCCACTTACTAATTTGGAATGTGCGTGTTTGTTATTGTTTCTTTTCTATTTCCCTTGTTCTGGTAATATGGTTTAGGCTTATTTTCTTCATGTTGTTTGATGATGGTTCTAAGTTATTACTTGTTTGCAATTTTGGAAAGATGGGTTGGTTTAGTTGATGTGTGGATGGTTTTGTTCTTCTCATGGGTTATTAAGTTGAATTGATAAAAGTGGTTTCAAATTCTTTTTTTGTATGGTTTGCTCGCTTTATTGTATCTTAATTCATGTTTTTTGATTAAACTAGAACATGGTGTATTTATACTTTTTGTTTCACATGTTTGAGCAGCTAGTTTTTTTTTTTTTTTGGGCACCTTCAAATGGTAATGGTGTGATTGCAATGTGGGTTACACTTCACTTACAGATGTGGTTGGTGAAGGTTTCCTGCTCTGTTCAGATCATCATTGTCTTCATAGAGATTTCTTCAGTTTGGATTTAAAGTCGTAAATTCAAACTTTGTTGCCCCCAATTTTGCAAGTGTCTAATTTAAAAACCGAAGTTTTGACAAAATTAAATGTACTCAGCTTCAACGAAATAATGAATTAACTCACATAACCTGTTTTCAATAAGCGTTAGATGGAATCAAAGTTAAGTATTTTCTCCCGCAAGAATTGATATGTAAATGTTGCACAAGCTTTGCACTAATAAAAAAAAAAATCTTTGTTTTGTTTTTCGTTTTACACCGTAGCTTCTAACATAGTTTTTTCTAATATAACTAAAAAAGAGCCAAGAGTCATAAACTTGAAACAATGCACTTGATTTTGGGGTAAATGAATGGTATTAAAACAATAGGACAAGAGACGTAAATTTTAGTTTGATTGGTACATAAATATTAATTGAAAAACCGATAAATTGTATAAAATAAATAAATTCATACATTTTATATTTGTTAATATTTTTTTAAATAGAAAATTAAAATAAAAAGATAGCAGAAAGTTGACCCTGCTTTGGGTTTGACATTTGCGAACAAAACCAACGGAGTTAGAAAAAAAAAATCACAGACAACCCGCTGAGGTATTGCCACTTGATTTTATCGCCTCAGTCCCTCTTGTATCTTGTCATCTCTCTTTTTCTTTCTGTACTCAAAGCTAAAGGTTCTCTCTCTCTCTCTCCTCACTGCCCCCCACCCCTGGGCATCGTTTTCTTCGTTGGAAGCTGGAAGGCAAGCNACCAATCTATAGATACACACAGTGCTTCTCCCTCCTAGGGTTTCGCTTACACAACTCGCGGCGTCTCTCTCAAATCGCGAAAATGGTAACTCTCTCTCTCTCTCTCTGTGAATTTGACGTTTTTGTATTGTTTTCCTCTCTGAATCTGGGTTTGTGCATTGTTACAGCCGTCGCACAAGACCTTTATGATCAAGAAGAAGCTGGCGAAGAAGCAGAGGCAGAATAGGCCCATCCCTCACTGGATCCGTATGAGAACTGATAACACAATCAGGTGCTCATTTCTTCATTCTTCATTCTCTCTCCCATCTATATCTTCATGCGTTTTGTGTACTTTCTCTGTCTAAATCTGAGTGTCTATTTGTGCGTATGCGTCTTTTTCAGGTACAATGCGAAGCGTAGGCACTGGCGTCGTACCAAGCTTGGGTTCTGAGATGGGTAGTGGAATTCACAGTTACTTAGCTTTGTTTTGATCGGAATTCGACTTTGTTTAGTTGTTGCAAGGACAAGGGTTAAGAATTCGATGTTCTTTGTGTTGATTTGAGGTTAATTTTAAGGAACCGACTCATAGGAGTCCTTCATAAGATATCTTATTGTTGTTTATTTGATATCGTCTAATGTTGGAAATCATGGCATAGACTTCATGTATTGTATTGGGTTTTTGTTTTCATTAACTGGAAAGATGGCTTGAATCCGTTTTCTGCACAGGATTTGTGGATTGTTGTTTTTCGAGTATATTGGTGAAAAAGATTATTGTTCACTTGGTCACTGTTCGTGGACTCTGTACATAGCTAACTTTAGGTATGGTTTGCACAAAGTGAATTCTCTCATATTTGGACCCACAACCTTTACATTGTTCGATTGAACATACAACCACTGCAATGAATAATGATCCATTTTTGAGTATCTTGGTCCACTTACTAATTTGGAATGTGCGTGTTTGTTATTGTTTCTTTTCTATTTCCCTTGTTCTGGTAATATGGTTTAGGCTTATTTTCTTCATGTTGTTTGATGATGGTTCTAAGTTATTACTTGTTTGCAATTTTTGAAAGATGGGTTGGTTTAGTTGATGTGTGGATGGTTTTGTTCTTCTCATGGGTTATTAAGTTGAATTGATAAAAGTGGTTTCAAATTCTTTTTTTGTATGGTTTGCTCTGCTTTATTGTATCTTAATTCATGTTTTTTGATTAAACTAGAACATGGTGTATTTATACTTTTTGTTTCACATGTTTGAGCGGCTAGTTTTTTTTTTTTTTTGGGCACCTTCAAATGGTAATGGTGTGATTGCAATGTGGGTTACACTTCACTTACGGATGTGGTTGGTGAAGGTTTCCTGCTCTGTTCAGATCATCATTGTCTTCATAGAGATTTCTTCGGTTTGGATTTAAAGTCGTAAATTCAAACTTTGTTGCCCCCAATTTTGCAAGTGTCTAATTTAAAAAATGAAGTTTTGACAAAATTAAATGTACTCAGCTTCAACGAAATAATGAATTAACTCAAAATAACCTGTTTTCAATAAGCGTTAGATGGAATCAAAGTTACGTATTTTCTCCCGCAAGAATTGATATCTAAATGTTGCACGAGCTTTGCACTAATAAAAAAAAAAATCTTTGTTTTGTTTTTCGTTTTACACAGTATCTTCTAACATGAGTTTTTTTTAATATAACTAAAAAAGAGCCAAAAGTCATAAACTTGAAACAATGCACTTGATTTTGGGGTAAATGAATGGTATTAAAACAATAGGACAAGAGACGTAAATTTTAGTTTGATTGGTACATAAATATTAATTGAAAAACCGATAAATTGTATAAAATAAATAAATTCATACATTTTATATTTGTTAATATTTTTTTAAATAGAAAATTAAAATAAAAAGATAGCAGAAAGTTGACCCTGCTTTGGGTTTGACATTTGCGAACAAAACCAACGGAGTTAGAAAAAAAAAATCACAGACAACCCGCTGAGGTATTGCCACTTGATTTTATCGCCTCAGTCCCTCTTGTATCTTGTCATCTCTCTTTTTCTTTCTGTACTCAAAGCTAAAGGTTCTCTCTCTCTCTCTCCTCACTGCCCCCCACCCCTGGGCATCGTTTTCTTCGTTGGAAGCTGGAAGGCAAGCTCTCTCTCTCTCTCTCTCTCTCTCTCTCTGTGTTTTCTTTGTTTTGTATGAGATGGGCATTAGTAAGAACTTGAACAATTTCGGATACAATGGATGCATGTGATCTTAGACACATAGGTGTGTGTGGTGTGGATTGATCTTTGCATGAATCAATGAAGGATCACGATGATAACATCTCGATGAATCCGTTTAGAAGGTCACGCTGGCTTGTCAATTGAATTTGATCTGATAATTACCGTTCGTTTTCTATGTGATGCTCCAGATGGCTTCAAACACAATGCTCTCCCTGGCCTCTACCTCTGCATCACCTTTATTATCCTTGCAAGATACTTTGAAGGTACAATAAATTTCAATTTCTGCTACAATACCTATGTCTCTGTGTGTGCGTGTGTGATCTTTTTTTGACCTCTGTTTGCTTTCTCAGAAACAGAGGATAGAATAAGAAATTAATATTGAAAAATGTGTTTTAATTTCAAGACTATATGTTGTGTGTTTAATTTGAGCAGACAAAATTGAAGCTTACCAGCTCTAATCATACTAGTTTCTTGGGCAAGGGAAAAAGCGTCCCCTTCACAAACACAAAGGTATTCCTTCTTTTTTTGGTTAAAAAAAATGGTCTTAGCCTTCTTTCTTTTTTTTTTTTTCAAGTTAAGCTATGTCAGTGTTCTATAAATAGACTTGTTACTGGAACCCTGTTCTACTATTTGTGGTTTGGTAAATTCAGCCTTGCTGGGTATGGTTCTTTTACTCAATTCACTCATGTAATGGACAGAACAGAATGATAAAAATGGAAATTTGATATTAGTATTTCTAACTTATTTATTTGCATGTGGACTTAACTTTTCTTACCTATAGATGCGTGGTGTTCCTTGAAGATTTTTTAGTTATTCAACTTTTCTGCAGATGGATTCTGTTTTTCCATATCTCAATTTACAAAGCATCATCCCAACTATTCGTAGTCCGCCACTTGTGCTCTATCAAGGGAAATATTTTTTTGTTGAACCTCATGCTATTATGTCATTTTTTTTTTCTATATCAATTAATATTTTCATTTAACCTCTAAAATTGTAGTTAATAGGTACCATCACATCACTCTTTCTTAGTGTAGCAATAGTTCATCTTCTATCTATCTAATATTATCTACTTTGATCCAATGGTAAAAATTCATCCCCAAAATTTTTTTCGAGCACAAAAGCATCATCTTCACTACACGACTCAATGTTAGACAACTCAATCAACACATTGACATGCTCTCCAATGTCACACAATCTCATCAAGCCACACTTACCTCTACATACTAGCGATAACCTCATGCCTAAAGACACTCTATAATACCAAAAATCCAACGTTGTTTTATAATATTTCTATTTTAAATAACATTTTTTTCTTTTTTTTTTAATTATATAATTTAAAATTAAAGTGAGCGGAGAGAAAATAAGAGAGACGTGAAAGAGAGAGAAGAGAGAGGTAAGTGTGAATTAATTTGGCATTAGGGAGTGTGTTTGATTAAGTTGTGTATCAAAGTAGAAGAATCAATCTTCACTGTTGTTGTATTTTTAAAAATTGAGAATGCAACTTCTTAATTGTAATATTAGATATATATGTCTAAACCGAATAAGTCACTGATTTCTTTAGTTATTTCTTATTGGGGCTGTTTCTTACTTTTTCTGGATATATGCATTTCTAATTTACCAAACATTCCTCTTAATGTGCTTATTTTTGCACCCCTAGTTTTTTTAGCATATTATTTCTTTGCTAAAAAAATGATAGGCACATAAGGTTTGGTTTGGTTTGGTTTATTTCTTTGCTGCCAACATCCATTATTATAAAGCTTGCCATTGAACATCACATGGGCACAAAAGCATCAGGAAAGAAGCCTATAATTTATTTGTCATTTCATTTAATTTTGCATTTCTACTCCATTTTAGGGTTTTGATAAACAAGGCAATCAAGGAACACTAATACGAATACGGGATATGAGTACAATACAATACAGATATGACGATACAACAAAACTTACAAAAATAGAATACAAATATAGTCAGAATACTTCTATAATCAAATATATTTTATATTTTTACTATTTTCTAACGACTTGATAATTATGGTTTTTAGTAAACTTTTAACAATAATTAGCAAAATTAGCAATTTGAACATTCAAAAAGGTATATATCATCTCATTATTGTATATTTACAAAGTGAACATGACTAATTAAAGGAATCAGAGTCAATATTTATCTAGTTGGTTTGTTTAGAAATATTTGTTGCCAAAATTATAATGTAATTACTTCATTTTATCTTCAATCCTTACTCAAACCCTCACTCAAAGTTAAATTCAGGCAAAAAAACAACCTCCAATCTTTTACTTAAATCCAAAACAATTGAATGGACACTCAAATTTTTACTCAAATTAAGGAAAACTTAAATTTTGAATGGTTAGATTTTACCTTCTTTTAAAGATCCAGTAGTCGTATTCTATCATTCTTTAAATTTGGGTTTGCTCTCATTTAAATTTGGGTCTATTTTCTTTTAATTTTGAGTATGTTCATTGGGGTGTGTTTTAATCAAATCAAGCTTTTTAACTGAAATTTGAGGAAAAATTTGAATCACGGTTGAAGATGGTCATGTGATAGAATATAAGATAATACTTAGAAAATAACCATGTGTCTTCAAAGTTATATAAATTTGTTGATATATGGCGTTACGTGAATGTGAAAGGAGCGGCTAAAGATCAAAATTAAAAATTATGCATATTTTTCTGCGTACAAAAGTATATGCGAAGTATCCACATATTTGATTTATTATTAGATACGTATAGCGTGTATTTGATACATATATTGAGTATCCAATGAGTATTATATCTGATGCGGATACGTCAGCCTTAACAAAGTATCTGTGCTTCATAGAGACGGATAATTGCATCCTGGTTTGACACGTTTTATCTTGACCCTTAAGATCTTAGTTTTAAATATTTCTTATTTGCAGTCTTTTGGTCGGATAACTATGGCTGTTGCCGTCAAGGTTTCTCGATTTGAGAGTATAACAATGGCTCCTCCTGATCCCATCCTTGGAGTTTCTGAAGCATTCAGAGCTGACACAAATGAAATGAAGCTCAACCTAGGTGTTGGAGCATATCGTACAGAAGAACTTCAACCTTATGTGCTTAATGTTGTGAAGAAGGTAACGTTTTTTCCTCATTCTGTTGGTTAGCAATTAATGGCTTTGGTTTGTTCCAATATTTCCTTCTTTCTTCTAACAAGGGATATGGGTAGAATACTCTAATTCTATGTATAGCAAAGGGACAAGAATGCTTTTTGTTTTCGAGAATCAAAATACAGTTGATAAATATTATATATTGAAACATTTCAATTGTAGGCAGAGAATCTTATGCTGGAGAGGGGTGAAAACAAAGAGGTACCTAATATTTATGAGTTCAATGGATTGACTTAACATATTTTCATTGAACGGTTTCTTACCTCCTTCAATATCAAATCTTTAGTATCTTCCAATCGAGGGTTTAGCTGCATTCAACAAGGTCACAGCAGAGCTATTGTTTGGAGCAGACAACCCAGTGATCCAGCAACAAAGAGTATGTATACATGTGATTTATATGTTAGTAGAAAGACATCATAGTACATCTCTGATATATCAATCTGAGGAACTTTGTTTTGATCTAATTTATATTTTTTCTTTACCATTCAGGTTGCAACTGTTCAAGGTCTTTCTGGGACTGGTTCTCTTAGGCTCGCTGCAGCACTAATAGAGCGATATTTTCCTGGGGCAAAAGTTCTGATATCATCTCCAACTTGGGGTGTGTATCATTACTCTCTTGAATTTGCCTGGGAGATCTAAAGTACAGTGACACAATAACAGACTAAAACATCACTTGCAGGTAACCACAAGAATATCTTTAATGATGCTGGAGTTCCTTGGTCTGAATATCGCTACTATGACCCGAAAACTGTTGGTTTGGATTTTGATGGGATGATATCAGACATAAAGGTAATGTTGACCTCACTTTCATCTATGAATGTGTAACTTTGAAGTCTATATCGAAATTATCCATTGCTTAAGAACATTGTCAGATGTTGGTTTTGGGTAGTCATACTAGATTTACAATGAAGAAATGAATACGAAATGTGCCCATATGTAAAAACTCTTGATTATGAGTTTAGCATTGTGATGTATTCGCCTTTTTCTTTTCCTTTTCTTTTTTCAACCCCCTTTCATGCAAGGATGTGCTAAAGATATCGGCTTGATGAGCGTATTGATTGCGCAACTTATTGCTTACACCTCGTTTTTGTTTTTAATCTGCCAGCACCTTGTATTCTTAGCAGCTTTAGCCTCTGTTCACGTCATAACATCTAGAATATTTTGCTTCTCTCAAATGCAAGTGTCTAGCACAAAAATTTTAAAATATTGAGCTTTTTCGCCATTTAAAAAAGGAAAAAGAAAAAAATGATCCAGGTTAACCCATGCACATTTTGATTCCCTTTACATTTCCTGTCTCAATCACATCTCTTCTTATAGTTATATATCTAATAACCTGAATAATGATGTTTTGGGTACAGGCTGCTCCTGAAGGATCTTTTGTGTTGCTTCATGGCTGTGCGCACAACCCAACCGGCATTGATCCAACTCCTGAGCAGTGGGAAATAATTGCTGATGTCATTCAAGAGAAGAACCTCATTCCCTTTTTTGACGTTGCTTACCAGGTATTATCATGTAGTTTTTAAAAGGTTATTGTCACTTTAAATCAAGTTTCTAAATTCTAGTTTCAGTGTTTTCACATCTTGAAATAATGCAACAGAGTATCGTTATTTTTACGAAGGATTTTCGATTAATAGTGGAAAGATATATGAATATATGTGTGTTTAGAAATATTTACATATATATATATATATATTGTGAAAATCAGTCCACTAATCAAAAATCAAGAATGGGCTCATAATCCATATTGCAGCATATTGTGAACATGTTGATAGGATATTAACAGTAGTTGGTTTGTGTCTGAACTCCATACTTCATTACAGGGATTTGCAAGTGGAAGCCTGGATGCAGATGCATCATCTGTGAGGTTGTTTGCTGCACGCGGCATGGAGCTTCTGGTCGCTCAGTCATACAGTAAGAATCTGGGTCTTTATGCCGAAAGGATTGGAGCAATCAACGTCATCTGCTCAACAGCAGAAGCAGCCACGAGGTATAGTGGATCAATATTCCATTCTCATCTATCTTCTGGCNCCCCCCCCCAAAAAAAAAAAAAAAAAAAAAACAATAATCTCCTCAGCACCGAGAGGAGAGAAGGAAAGATAATCAACCAGAATTTGGGATAACCCTAGGCCATGGTAATCTCAATCCTAACCCCTAAGAAGCAGAAACACATATACCCGAAACGAATACGACACACAACGTGATTTTCTCCAATTTTCTTGATCTTAAATTTAGGTCTTACAATTCTCAAAGACCTCAACCTAAGCAAGCGCATATTTCTAAACAAATAGGACCCAAATTTCAACATAATCAGACTCATTTCCAAAAAAGTAGGACCCAAATATGTCGAAGACACATTATATATAATTATTCCTTATAGACCACAGCTATGTACGTAATTATAAAACTATAAGAAATTCAGTATTTTTACAATAAGCAAATCTTATGTTTAATTATTTAGTGTTGTTAAGAATAGTAGGGTAGTATGTGTAAATTGTTAATAGTAAGAGGGTGTATGTGTAATTTTTATTATTGTATGTCAACTATAAATACAAGTGATGTATGAGAGCAAAGTTAAATTTTTTAATCTCTCTCTGTCTCTAATATTATGTTAATCCTCCAAATTTAACATAGTATCAGAGTATAAACGATCCTAAATATATTAACATTGTAGTGGTGTGGTGTGGTTGTGGTGGCTGTGGTGTGTGGTATTTGTTCATCGCCCACTTGCGTTGTTCGCGGTGGTGGTGTTGTGGTGTTGTTGTGGTGGCGGTGTGGTGGCGTGATTGCTTGTGGTGGTGGTGTGGCTTTTGTTTATTGTCGAGTAACATTCTTCGTGGTAGTGGTGTGTGGTGGTCTTGTTGTTGACATCGGCTTGTGGTGTGTACTGTTGTCGCAGACTAAAGGGTGGTCTTAGAACCCTAATCAGCAAGGAAGAAGAAGGGATCCAACGAGGAGTAGGGTCTGGATCAGATCGGGTCAGGCCCAGGACTTGAATTTTAAGTCCAATCTCAGTCCAGCCCATGGTTCAGCTTAGACCGGATCATGGTTCAACAGTCTAGAGAGCCTAATCGGTCTAGTTCAAAGGTCCAGAGAGCTTTGCTGGCCCGGTTCAGTGGTCTAGCCCGATTTTTCAGCCCGATTTAGTGGTCCAGTCTGATTTTCTAGCCCGGTTCAGTGGTCCAATTCGGTTCTTCATCCCAGTTCAGTGGTCCAATCCACTTTTTCAGCCCCAGTTCAGTGGCCCAGTCCACTTTTCTAGCCCGGTTCAGTGGTCCAATTCATTTTTCCAGTACGGTTCAATATTCCAGCTTTTCTTTTCTTCTGGTTTATCACTACAACAGCCTTGTTTGGTCTAGTTCAGTGCTTGAGCAGTTTTGTCCAATTCGGTTCATCACTCCAGCAGCCTTGACCAGTTTTGTTTGCTTCTATTATTGCTATATTATTATGGACCCCAAGAATAAAAATGATGATAGTCAAGTTGATTTTATTTCATCCACGTTACTAAATTTTTCTCCTACGGTTCTACTTAATGGTCTCATGACATCTGTTAAACTCAATGAGACCAATTATGTTTTGTGGTCATGATCTGTTCAAGTGTTTCTTAGAGGTAAATGTTTTAAGAAATATTTAGTGGATACTAAACCCAAAGAAAGTACTCCTGGATATAATAATTGGGAACAAGAAGATGCTCAGATTATTTCATTGCTATTGANAGGTTGATTTTATTTCATCCACGTTACTAAATTTTTCTCCTACGATTCTACTTAATGGTCTCATGACATCTGTTAAACTCAATGAGATCAATTATGTTTTGTGGTCATGATCTGTTCAAGTATTTCTTAGAGGTAAAGGTTTTAAGAAATTTTTAGTGGATACTAAACCCAAAGAAGGTACTCCTGGATATAATAATTGGGAACAAGAAGATGCTCAGATTATTTCATTGCTATTGAATAGTATTGAGCCCAGTATCAGTTCTACTTTGCTTTATCTTGACACTACCAAAGAGATCTGGGATCACTTGGCCACCATGTATTTTGGCACTGGGAATTTCACTCATGCATATAAAGTGTGCAAACAGTATTTTCGTCTGAAGTAGGGTACTCTGAGTCTTGAGGACTATTACTCTCATGTTAGGAGAGTGTGTGAGGAGTTTAAGCTCTATCACCCTTTTATTACTGATGCAGCGGTTTGGCAGTAGTAACATAAGGATGTGAATGTTGTTCGATTTTTAATTGGTTTGAAACCTGAGTATGAGTCTATTCGTTCTCAAATTTTGGGTGGTTCTAGTCTTCCATCCTTACTGGTGGTTTTCTTCCGCCTGCAGCATGCTACCTTCTCTACCGGTTCATCCAACACGGAGTCTGGTGTACTTGCTGATCGTTCAGCTCTTGTTGTCCCGAGTAGCCATGGTAACAGTTTTCGAGGTGGCCGTGGTAACCGTGGTGGTCGGGGNTCTCAAATTTTGGGTGGTTCTAGTCTTCCATCCTTACTGGTGGTTTTCTCCCGCCTGCAGCATGCTACCTTCTCTACCGGTTCATCCAACACGGAGTCTGGTGTGCTTGCTGATCGTTTAGCTCTTGTTGTCCCGAGTAGCCATGGTAACAGTTTTCGAGGTGGCCGTGGTAACCGTGGTGGTCGGGGAGGCCGTACTGGAGGTCGCGGAGGGCATTCAGGGTCTCGTTCATGCTCACTATGGTCGTGGAGGCCACACTGTTGATTACTGCTGGGATTTACATGGCAAGACTTCAGGTGTTGCTAATCAGGTGTCTTATTAAGATGACACCCCGACTCCAGCCGTTATCCCTCGGTCCGCTCCACCTGATTTCGTATTAGTTAATCTTACACGGGAGGAGTATGCTCAGTTTTTGTCCCATCAGCAGGCTGTTCTATCTCCCTCCACTGCTACTTTTGCCCAGTCAGGTAATGCCTCCACTTGTTTATTGTCGTTCACTCGCAGTCCCTAGATCATAGACTCTGGCGTTTCTAACCACATGACTGGTGCGTCTGATATTTTTTCTACTTATCAGTCTGCTACTTCTACGCGTAGTGTTACTCTTGCTAATTGTATTTTTTCTAAAGTTTCAGGTTTGGAGACTACTCACTTGAGTCCTGATATGTCCCTATCTTCTGTGTTATTTGTTCCTCAGTTTCTTTTTAGTTTACTTTTCATTAGCAAGATTACTCATTCTCTTAATTGTTCTGTAATTTTTTATCCCTCTTATTGTGTCTTTCAAGATCTCAAAACAAAGAGGAAGATTGGTACGGAGCATGAAGCTGGTGGTCTATATTACCTTGACTTTGATTCACCTATTCGAGCTTTACAGACCTCGTTGTTTCATTTTCAATAGTATTGTCGTTTTGGACATCCCTCTCTCCAGAATTTGAAGTGTCAAGTTCTCAATCTTAGTTATGTGTCGTTTTTGTTTTGTGAAGCTTGTCAACTTAGTAAGCATCGCTGTGTGTCATTTCAGTCTAGAATTAATAATCGTGTGNAGTCTTAGTTATGTGTAGTTTTTGTTTTGTGAAACTTGTCAACTTAGTAAGCATCGTTGTGTGTCATTTCAGTCTAGAATTAATAATCGTGTGTCTAGTCCATTCTGATGTATGGGGTCCAATAAAAAATATTTCATCTAATAAATATCTTTATTTTGTGATATTTATGGATAACTATTCTCGTGTGACTTGGTTATTTTTAATGAAATGTCGGTTTGAATTATTCTCTATATTTGAGATTTTTCATAAGGAAATAAAAACTCAGTTTGGTTGTTGTATACGTACTTTACATTCCGATAATACTCGGAAATACGAATCTGATTCTTTTTCAACTTATCTTAGTAAAACTGACATTATTCATCAGACTTTTTGTGCTTACACTTCTCCACAAAATGGTGTTGCTGAACGCAAGAACCATCATTTGTTGGAAATCACCAGTACCCTGTTATTCCAGATAAATATTTTTCGATATTATTGGAGTGATCATGTTCTTACTGCTTGTCATCTTAGTAATCGTATGTCATCCTCTGTGTTAAATGAGCAAAGTCCATATTCTGTTCTTTTTTTCGGTAAGCCCTTATTTTCCTTGACTCCTAAGATTTTTGGTTGTGTTTGTTATGTTCACAATTTGGGTCCTGAGTTTGACAAACTTGACCCTCGAGCTACCAAATGTGTATTTCTTAGTTAGTTCCGCACGAAAAAAGGGTATCGTTGCTACAGTTCTTGTTTGCACCGATATTTTACTAGTGTCGATGTCACGTTTGAAGAGTCTGTTCCATACTTTCCAGCACCTTCTCAGCCTTTGGATTTGGACTTTGGATCCTCTCCTGTACCACCATTTCTTTCTTCATCTTCAGATATTCTGTTACCCACTGTGTTACCATCTACTTTACATCTCCGTGTCTACTCTCGTCATCCTCGCCCATCGACTGAGGTGCCCGTACCGTCTTCCTTGCCGTCTTCTAATCTTGGTACATCAGGTAATTTAGACTTTTTACCTATTGCTCTTCGCAAAGGTACTCGTTCGTGTGTTCCTAATCATCCCATTTCTCATTTTGTTTCATATGATGTCTTATCTCATGTCTTCTCTTGTTTTATTTCCTAGTTATCTACTATATTTTTTCGTAAGCATTTACAGGATGTGTTATCTGATCCGGGTTGGAAGAAAGCTATGGAAGAGGAGATGGATACTTTACATCATAATGGGACTTGGGATCTCGTTCTTTTACCCTATGGTAAACAAACTGTAGGCTGTCGTTGGGTGTATACTATTAAATTTCATCTAGGTGGTTCTATGGAGCGTCTCAAAGACCGGCTTGTTGCAAAGGGCTTTACTCAGACTTATGGTGTTGATTATGAGGAGATTTTTTCTCCTGTTGCCAAAATTTTCTCTGTTTGTATCTTGGTTTCTTTGGCTGCTAATCTTGATTGGTCCTTGTTTCAGTTAGACGTCAAGAATGCCTTCTTACATGGTGACTTGGTTGAAGATGTATACATGGAGCATCCACTTGAGTTTACTGCTCAGGGGGAGTATGGTAAGAGTGTATGTCGGTTAAAAAAATCTTTGTATGGTTTGAAGCAATTACCGAGGGCATGGTTTGATAAATTTTCAAATGCAGTTTTAGAGTTTGGTCTTCTTTGATGTCAGACAGATCATTCTGTGTTTCATAGACAGACAGATGCTGGATATGTCCTATTGGTGGTCTATGTAGATGATATTGTGATTACTGAAAATAATTCTGAGGGGATTGCCAAGTTAAAAATATTCTTACAAGATCAATTTCATACTAAGGATTTGAAAAAATTCAGGCATTTCTTGATTATTGAGGTGGCTCGATCTAAACAGGGTATTTGTTTATCTCAGAGGAAATATGTACTTGACATGCTTGAGGAAGCAGGATTGCTGGGTGGTAGACCGATTAATGTTCCTATGAATCCGAATCAAAAATTATTGATGGATGATGGTGTATTGTTTGAGAATTCGAGTCGATATTGCAGATTAGTTGGGAAGCTTAATTACCTTACTATTACTTGACCAGATATTTCATATGCAGTCTGTATAGTAAGTTCATGGAATGTCCTAGAATACCACATTAGGAGGCAGTTACTCGTATTCTGCGATATCTCAAACGAGCTCCTGGACTTGGACTGTTATATCGAGCTGATGGACATCTTAGAGTAGAAGATTTCTTAGATGCTGATTGGGTTGACTCTTCTTCTGATCAGAGATCAACCACTGGTTATTGTACTTGCTTAGGAAGTAATGTTGTCTCATGGAAAAGTAAGAAACAACCCGTGGTAGCAAGATGCAATGTTGATATTAAGTATAAGGCAATGACACATACAACAAGTGAGGTGACGTGGCTACTACACTTCCTCCAGAAAATTGGGTTTTCAGTTTAACTTCCTTTACAGTTGTTCTATGACAACCAGACAGCTATCCATATCGGTGTCAATCCTGTGTTTCACGAGAGAATCAAGCATATTGAAGTTGATTGTCACTTTATTCGAGACAAGATAGTAGTTGGGGAGATTACAACTCCATTTGTGAAATCTGAAGATCAGTTTGTAGATATGTTTACCAAAGTATTGAGTCTTACACGTCTTACAGCTATTTATTCCAAGCTTAGATTATATGATATATATACTCTAACTTGAGGGAGAGTGTTAAGAATAATAGAGTAGTATGTGTAAATTGTTAATAGTAAGAGGGTGTGTGTGTAATTCTTATTATTGTAGGTTAATTATAAATACAAGTGATGTATGAGAGTTAAGTTAAATTCTTTAACCTCTCTATTTATCTTTAATATAATGTTAATCCTCTAAACTTAACAAATGTGAATTTTTCAATTGAAGTTTCATAGAAGGCAATAGTAATCGATTTTTCATAAACAAAGTATAGTAAGCACACATAATCATAATGATTGTTCTTATTTTCTCAATTTCTTTTCTTTTATGTATTTTTGTTCTTATAGCAAATACTAAAAACAATTTTAATATGATTAGCCTTAAGAATTATAAATATATCCATAACATAAGATAGTTGGTTGACGCTTTGCTGTTGGTCATTTGTCAAATTTGCTATAGCTTGGCATAGGGGGCCATATACTTTTGCAGAGAAAGTTTGAAAACTGCCAGAGTATTGGCCCCCACTCAATACATTTAATGGGAATAGAGTAGTCCCCTACTGTCACAATAGATATTTTTTTATCAAACGTAATAACACGATGTCATACTTAAGCATCACTTTCCAATAATGAGTAAACAACTTTTAGGCAGCCAAAATTATCCCATGAAATCTTAGTGTGTAATTTCGGTAGAGGGACGCGATTACCTTCTATTTAACTCTACACGGGAGTTTAAATTCTTTGTTTTTACTATATAAAATGCTAGATTTGGATTATTTTTTATGGGGTTTGACGAGCTTAGATTTAGACTAGGTCTGGACCTAATTTATGAATTGAGCCCAAATCATCAAAAGATAGGTCCGGCTTAGGTCATAAATTCAGGAAGAGTTAACGCACGTGGAGGAGCAATTATCGGAATAGTTATTAATCTAAGATAGTGTTCATCCTAAATTGTACTCCCTTCGTTCTTAAATATCTTTCGTTTTACACAATTTTTTTTTCCAAAATATATGTCATTTAATGAAACCAAAGCATAATTAATATTTTTCCTTCTAAATTTACCTTTAACTTTTCAATGCATTAGATTTGGTAGAAGTTAAGTGCCTTTCATATTCCTTTTCTTCCCAATACATATTGAGTAAGGGTATTTTAGTCTTGTGCAATTATTTTTTACTCATATTAGAACTATTTAATAGTTTCCTTAATCTCTGTGCAAAAACCTTAAACGACAGATATTTAGGAACGGGAGGAGTAGTTATCCTCCTCAATAAACTAGTACCTTGACCCTTACGTCACCACCTCAATTAAAATTCTGTGCCTATAAATTATAAACCCTCTCACACATGGGGGCAGAAATCTCACACACTTCACCTTAAACATTTTTTTACTCTTCCCTATTACCTTGTACTCTCTCATTAATAGAGTTCTCCAGTCACCGTTATCACCTTCAGTGATTATATTTCCAGATTGAACCATCCAATTTTTGTCTCTTATTATTGATTGTTTCATTAATTACTCTCCAACACACACTCGACTGATTGATTGTTCATAAAATCACTTTTATGCATCATCAAGATTGTCCAATTTTTGTTAAATTGTTAAACTTCATTAGGGCGTGTTACCACGTTACAAAAGTGGATATGATTCGAACTATTTCTTGTGTTCATCTTCTTCTTATGGGCAGTATGATTTTTTATTGCATATGTTTATGTGGCCTGTATGATTGTTTTGCCGTCCTCGTTGTGGCTGGCTACAGCTGCCTGTTGGGCAGTTTACGACTGGCGAAGCCTTTTTTTAGGCCCAAGCCCCTTTGTGTTAAGGGCCGCTTGGTCTTTGATCAGTCAGCGGATTGGGATCAAGCCTGCTTTCCAGATTATACCCAGGCCGATGGATCACCATATGGGCCAACCCAATTAGTGGGCTGAACCTAATGGGTCTTGAAACCTGATTTTTTCCAAAATTTATATTTAAATATAAGTAAAGAAAAAATACAAACATTCAGAAGTGGTTTTAGGGGGAAACAAAAAACAGATTNATGTCATTTAATGAAACCAAAGCATAATTAATATTTTTCCTTCTAAATTTACCTTTAACTTTTCAATGCATTAGATTTGGTAGAAGTTAAGTGCCTTTCATATTCCTTTTCTTCCCAATACGTATTGAGTAAGGGTATTTTAGTCTTGTGCAATTATTTTTTACTCATATTAGAACTATTTAATAGTTTCCTTAATCTCTGTGCAAAAACCTTAAACGACAGATATTTAGGAACGGAGGGAGTAGTTATCCTCCTCAATAAACTAGTACCTTGACCCTTACGTCACCACCTCAATTAAAACTCTGTGCCTATAAATTATAAACCCTCTCACACATGGGGGCAGAAATCTCACACACTTCACCTTAAACATTTTTTTACTCTTCCCTATTACCTTATCCTCTCTCATTAATAGAGTTCTCCAGTCCCCGTTATCACCTTCAGTGATTATATTTCCAGATCGAACCATCCAATTTTTGTCTCTTATTATTGATTGTTTCATGAATTACTCTACAACACACTCGACTGATTGATTGTTCATAAAATCACTTTTATGCATCATCAAGATTGTCCAATTTTTGTTAAATTGTTAAACTTCATTAGGGCGTGTTACCACGTTACAAAAGTGGATATGATTCGAACTATTTCTTGTGTTCATCTTCTTCTTATGGGCAGTATGATTTTTTATTGCATATGTTTATGTGGCCTGTATGATTGTTTTGCCGTCCTCGTTGTGGCTGGCTACAGCTGCCTGTTGGGCAGTTTACGACTGGCGAAGCCTTTTTTTAGGCCCAAGCCCCTTTGTGTTAAGGGCCGCTTGGTCTTTGATCAGTCAGCGGATTGGGATCAAGCCTGCTTTCCAGATTATACCCAGGCCCATGGATCACCATATGGGCCAACCCAATTAGTGGGCTGAACCTAATGGGTCTTGAAACCTGATTTTTTCCAAAATTTATATTTAAATATAAGTAAAGAAAAAATACAAACATTCAGAAGTGGTTTTAGGGGGAAACAAAAAACAGATTAAGTTATCTGACCAGCCCATCAGGTTAGCCCGTAGCGATGTAAACCAGGCCAGCCCATGAGGACATACAGCCCAAACAACGAAGGTCCATGACCTTTAAAAAAAGCAGCTAAATTTTTTGGGAAAAAAATCCCATTTCCAATGGTAATTTGATCTTCCACTCAAACAAGGCCAACATCCCTTCACCTACACAACCATGGTAAAAAACCACCCCAAAAAATAATTAATCATGGCCGATGAGGAAAGGAACAAAAGCAGTTTGGCTGTGTTTTTTCGAGCACTGCAGAGACCAGCAGCACAGCAACAAAAGCTCAAATGTCTTGACAGAATCAGTGATCAGAAGGCACATGTTGCGTAATCCGTAGCGTTCCACCAAACTCCATGGGTACTAGAGGGATAAGAGAATACAATACGTCGGTTATTAATGGGCGATAGCTTGGTTCTGGTTGCACGCATAGTACAGCTACAGCAGCAACCTGCGCAATAGTATTGCAACTCGCTTTAGAATAACAAAGCAATTAATTTGAGTCAGTGCAACTTGGTTTGGATTGATCTGGGATGAGTCCAAGTTTCAAGCTAAACATAAGCAAAAATCTGCCTTGAACCGATCTAACACAAGCCCCAAATCAATCCACTCTAACCCAGAACCAAAATTTAGACTTCCATGTTTGTCAGCACTCGGCAATACCAAGTTGCACCAATGAGGAAAAACACTACAAGAAGGAATAGTTGTTCTCTGTACAAGAACCTGGTATAGGTGCTTTAAATCCATTGTATTTTTTATCACAGGATCCACAATGTTTGGAAGCTTTGATCTGTCTGTGAGCTGAGGCATGGCCTGCATTCACAGAAACAGAGATATTTAGCTTCAAAATTCAAAGCACCATTCACATTCAAGCCGAAAAGGATTAACCAGATGGAGCTAAGAGCAAGGCATACCCATGTGACAATAGACTGGCATTGAGCTGGTGCCAATTTCTCCACAGGTTTTCTTCCCAGTAGAAGCTCCAAAAGCACAACTCCAAAAGCATAGACATCACTTTTATCGGTCAGTTGACCTGAGGAAGGGAAAAACAATGAAGTACTTTTAAGTTTTTAGCAGAAAAAAGGGAGTGCAGGGAGTGCAAAATGCACCAAACTAAGACATGCTTAAATGTTAATTGATCTGAGCAGTCAAACAAGATGCGTTATTCCCGGAACATTTTATGCGTGTATTCTCTAATTCACCAGAAAAACATGAAAACCGTGTGCTATCTAATTTTTTTTAGTTGGCATTGTTAATCAAGTTTAGCTAGTCAAACTTAAGTATTCTCAAGCTCGATGGGTTGTGACTGGCCGGGCTCAAGTTCGGCTTGGCAGAAGCTTGAGGGTGTTTGAGTTGAACTTGGGCTTAACCTTAACTCGATTTCTCAGCAAAGATTTCCAAATATTAAATCTAGTACTTAACAATCAATCCTAAATTAATTGGTTGTTCAACAAAACCACCTAAAATCAGTAATAATCCATATAAAATTTAAACCCTACATGTTAAATTCCCATAAACTCTATTAGACAACAGGATGAGAGAAAATTGTATATGAACAATCCAAAATTGAACCAAGTTATAGTGAGCTCAAACTACTTGGATTGTTTAACAACCCTTTTAGCAACTANTCTATTAGACAACAGGATGAGAGAAAATTGTGTATGAACAATCCAAAATTGAGCCAAGTTATAGTGAGCTCAAACTACTTGGATTGTTTAACAACCCTTTTAGCAACTANGGAGGAGTAGTTATCCTCCTCAATAAACTAGTACCTTGACCCTTACGTCACCACCTCAATTAAAATTCTGTGCCTATAAATTATAAACCCTCTCACACATGGGGGCAGAAATCTCACACACTTCACCTTAAACATTTTTTTACTCTTCCCTATTACCTTGTACTCTCTCATTAATAGAGTTCTCCAGTCACCGTTATCACCTTCAGTGATTATATTTCCAGATTGAACCATCCAATTTTTGTCTCTTATTATTGATTGTTTCATTAATTACTCTCCAACACACACTCGACTGATTGATTGTTCATAAAATCACTTTTATGCATCATCAAGATTGTCCAATTTTTGTTAAATTGTTAAACTTCATTAGGGCGTGTTACCACGTTACAAAAGTGGATATGATTCGAACTATTTCTTGTGTTCATCTTCTTCTTATGGGCAGTATGATTTTTTATTGCATATGTTTATGTGGCCTGTATGATTGTTTTGCCGTCCTCGTTGTGGCTGGCTACAGCTGCCTGTTGGGCAGTTTACGACTGGCGAAGCCTTTTTTTAGGCCCAAGCCCCTTTGTGTTAAGGGCCGCTTGGTCTTTGATCAGTCAGCGGATTGGGATCAAGCCTGCTTTCCAGATTATACCCAGGCCGATGGATCACCATATGGGCCAACCCAATTAGTGGGCTGAACCTAATGGGTCTTGAAACCTGATTTTTTCCAAAATTTATATTTAAATATAAGTAAAGAAAAAATACAAACATTCAGAAGTGGTTTTAGGGGGAAACAAAAAACAGATTAAGTTATCTGACCAGCCCATCAGGTTAGCCCGTAGCGATGTAAACCAGGCCAGCCCATGAGGACATACAGCCCAAACAACGAAGGTCCATGACCTTTAAAAAAAGCAGCTAAATTTTTTGGGAAAAAAATCCCATTTCCAATGGTAATTTGATCTTCCACTCAAACAAGGCCAACATCCCTTCACCTACACAACCATGGTAAAAAACCACCCCAAAAAATAATTAATCATGGCCGATGAGGAAAGGAACAAAAGCAGTTTGGCTGTGTTTTTTCGAGCACTGCAGAGACCAGCAGCACAGCAACAAAAGCTCAAATGTCTTGACAGAATCAGTGATCAGAAGGCACATGTTGCGTAATCCGTAGCGTTCCACCAAACTCCATGGGTACTAGAGGGATAAGAGAATACAATACGTCGGTTATTAATGGGCGATAGCTTGGTTCTGGTTGCACGCATAGTACAGCTACAGCAGCAACCTGCGCAATAGTATTGCAACTCGCTTTAGAATAACAAAGCAATTAATTTGAGTCAGTGCAACTTGGTTTGGATTGATCTGGGATGAGTCCAAGTTTCAAGCTAAACATAAGCAAAAATCTGCCTTGAACCGATCTAACACAAGCCCCAAATCAATCCACTCTAACCCAGAACCAAAATTTAGACTTCCATGTTTGTCAGCACTCGGCAATACCAAGTTGCACCAATGAGGAAAAACACTACAAGAAGGAATAGTTGTTCTCTGTACAAGAACCTGGTATAGGTGCTTTAAATCCATTGTATTTTTTATCACAGGATCCACAATGTTTGGAAGCTTTGATCTGTCTGTGAGCTGAGGCATGGCCTGCATTCACAGAAACAGAGATATTTAGCTTCAAAATTCAAAGCACCATTCACATTCAAGCCGAAAAGGATTAACCAGATGGAGCTAAGAGCAAGGCATACCCATGTGACAATAGACTGGCATTGAGCTGGTGCCAATTTCTCCACAGGTTTTCTTCCCAGTAGAAGCTCCAAAAGCACAACTCCAAAAGCATAGACATCACTTTTATCGGTCAGTTGACCTGAGGAAGGGAAAAACAATGAAGTACTTTTAAGTTTTTAGCAGAAAAAAGGGAGTGCAGGGAGTGCAAAATGCACCAAACTAAGACATGCTTAAATGTTAATTGATCTGAGCAGTCAAACAAGATGCGTTATTCCCGGAACATTTTATGCGTGTATTCTCTAATTCACCAGAAAAACATGAAAACCGTGTGCTATCTAATTTTTTTTAGTTGGCATTGTTAATCAAGTTTAGCTAGTCAAACTTAAGTATTCTCAAGCTCGATGGGTTGTGACTGGCCGGGCTCAAGTTCGGCTTGGCAGAAGCTTGAGGGTGTTTGAGTTGAACTTGGGCTTAACCTTAACTCGATTTCTCAGCAAAGATTTCCAAATATTAAATCTAGTACTTAACAATCAATCCTAAATTAATTGGTTGTTCAACAAAACCACCTAAAATCAGTAATAATCCATATAAAATTTAAACCCTACATGTTAAATTCCCATAAACTATATTAGACAACAGGATGAGAGAAAATTGTATATGAACAATCCAAAATTGAACCAAGTTATAGTGAGCTCAAACTACTTGGATTGTTTAACAACCCTTTTAGCAACTATGCGCTCAGGAAAACTCAATTGATGGCAAACTAATGGCGTATTGTTCCTAAAATCTGGCATATATTCCCTAGCATGATGACACCCCATGTGTTCATAAAGGAAACATAAGAAAGCATTTTACACATTGGGAATTCTATTGTATACATGAAATGAAAGGGATTTAGAAGACTAGTTGGTATACCATCTAAGAGGTACTCTGGAGCAACATAACCAAGGGTTCCCGAAAGCTTGATGTTGTTTTTGTTTTGAGACCCATCGGTTATGGCAAGTCCAAAATCGGAAATCTGAATCCAAACACAACAAAGAGCATTAAAGATAGAGTTTTCATGAAATTTTCAATGGAGCAAAATAGAGATATACAACAACAATATTGTAGAATGATACCAATTCTAAGGACAGATCACAGACTAGAATTTTATGTCTTTACCTTGGCATTGAAGTCTGAATCTAGAAGAATATTAGATGATTTCAAGTCTCTGTGGATCACTGGTGGGTTGCAGTGCTCATGCAAATATTCTAATCCTCTGGTCAATCAATATGAGAAATTAATGCAACATCTGTAATAAAACTTAAAAATCCACAAAGTTTTTTTAACAAATTTACCTTGCTGCATCAAGGGCAATTTTCATACGAAGATGCCAAGTTAGCGCTGACCCACGAGAAGGTCCTAAAAACATTGAAATTACACTAAGCACAATATTATTATGGACTTCCATTTCTCTTAGTGGATCTTGTTAGTTTATATGAAAAAACTATTGAATGAGTTTACCATGCAATTGAGTTTCCAGAGATCCATTCTGCATCAATTCATAAACAAGAAGCTTTGTATCCTCATGAATGCAATAACCCAACAGGGAAATGATATTTGGATGCTGAATTTTACCCAGCAAGTCTACCTCAGTCTGCAATGTGAAATGATAATTCAGATACACGATAATTCAGATACACGACAATTATGCTGCATCAAGAAATCCCACAAAATGAATCCAGAAAATAGAAATATCACCAAAGTTAACCTCAAATTCCTTTATGGACTCCTGACTTCCACCATTAAGCCTCTTCACAGCTACATGGAAGTTGTCGTCCAATCTAGCTTTGTATACACATCCAAATCCCCCCACACCCAAAATATCAGTTTCCTGAAAATTGTTTGTCGCTCTTTCTAGTAACTCATAATCCATCAAAGATACAGATCCTTTTTTACAAGAAGTCTTCAATGAACTATATTTTCCCATAAATGGACCCAATGCATGCCCTTTCACAGCATCTTCAATACCAAACCATGTAGAACAATACAACACCAAACAGTACAAAACAAAGAATCTCAGATAAGTCTACAAGTTAGCATAACTTTTGCAATTTTCTATATACCCCAAAATTTTAAACCGGCAACCAAACATATAGGGGCAGAAAAAGGTACCTGAACTATTGGCATCCTCCTGGGATTTGAGTAAGGGCTTTCTATGGTAAATCAAGAAATATAACAAAGACAATATGATTGCTCCCAGTGCAGTTGAAGCAACAATGACTGCTGTAAGATATTTTTTATTTGACTCCTTTTCGTGATGCTTTTCACTTCCCACTTGAATCCCTGATTACAAAAGCAGTTTATAGAAGAAAACATCAGCTAAAGACTAAGTAGTCAGTTCGCGAAAGAAATTGACAAAAATCACTTATTGCTTATAGTAATGACCCAAAAACGAAATATTGAAACCAGCTGACGAAGGGACTGTTAAACCAAAGAAAAGTATATCAACAATTACTTATAAAAGATTACCAACCAAATTAAAATTTCCATATTTCTTCCATTCAATGTGAATAAAATGGAGGTTCTGATGTTTGGAGTTTAGAATTCGAAATTCGAGATGATGCAGAACAGAATCCAGAAAAAAGTTGTCGGTGGGATGTGAACAAGGACTTAAGAGGTGCTCCTCATCACGCATTTATGATTCTCAAGTGTCACAAAACTTAATCAACAAATCTTGCGAAGCTTACAGGCGTATCAGTTGGGGAGAGACAGAGAGAGAGTTGTATGAGTACCTGGAGAGAAGGCTGTCATTGATGCAGAAATTGAAGAAATGGATAACGCCACTGGCGGAGAAACCGGAGCAGATAAGGAAGAAAGAGGAGGGTCAGGTCTGGAATCAACAATAGAGAACTGAAGAATCCAAATGGGTCCATGAACAAGAAGCACAAACACTAGAAGAAGAATCTTCATTTCCTTTCCGATTTTCCTTCTCTCTTTCTCTCTCTGTGTCTATGTTAAGAAGCCATTAAGATACAGAGGTTTTAGGGTAGGCCTAACAGAGAGAGAGAGAAGGAAATCTAAAACCCATGGAAGTAGGCTTGGATGCTTTGCATCTTCTAAAGTCCAGATTTTTTGAATCTCTCTCTCTCTCTCTCTCTCTCTCTCTCTCTCTCTGTGGACAGTTGTGTGTGGGAAGAAGACAAAAATAAACAGATGAGGAGAGGCTAGGTACTTATGGTTGTAGTGACGTTGAAAGTACTCAGAAAATTGCAAAATGCTGATGAGAATTTGTAACTCTTCCAGGCAGGCCAACAGCAATTGCTTTCTCTAATCCGTTCGGGAATTGGAAAATTACAAAGTATCCATATTATTTGGATCTAAAAAATTCATGTAATTTATTTTATTAATTTAATAATATGATAATAATATAATTTAATAACTTTATTGCGACTTTATCTCTGGAGACTCTATTAATTGATACATCATTATATCAATAAATTAAATAGGTCACAAAAACATTACTCATTATAAGGTAAGGATAAGAGAAATCAATTGGTTTTTAGTTCAATAGTATTCTTTATCTTATGAAAATTTTGTCTTCTTAAGGTCAAGGGTTCAAGCGCCCTTCTCCCCTCAAAAAAAAAAGAAATATATATATATATATATATACTAATGGGCGAGGTCAAAAATTCAAGCCACTACCCTCTTCTCCCAAAAAACCAAAAAAAATAAGAGAAAGCAATTTTTTGGTATCATCTAAAAAATTAATTTTTATTATAAATTTTATTTTAAAATTTTATAATAAATAAAAAGTAAAATAAGAGTATGACTTGTCTGTTATTCATGTATTGACTAGGAAAAAATAAAAGTATGTTATCTGATGGTGCTCGGATTTCAAGGCCCAAGCCCGATTATGATGGGGTGATATTGTGAGAATGGCTTTGCAGATTGTGAATTAATCTTTTATGAACAGTTGGACAAGGAATGTAAGTAGTTCACCTTAGCCGAAGGACTAAGACTAAGTCCACTATCAACGAAGTCTCTTGCTCGCTGGGATTATGTATTCATCTGCCGACAAAGTGCCTCTAGTGACTTGGGACTCAGGGTCCACTTACAAAGAATGATTATTTTGGTATTCTCTCTCAGCTTTCTATGCTCTCTACCTNAGGCTAAGTCCACTATCAACGAAGTCTCTTGCTCGCTGAGATTATGTATTCATCTGCCGACAAAGTGCCTCTAGTGACTTGGGACTCAGGGTCCACTTACAAAGAATGATTATTTTGGTATTCTCTCTCAGCTTTCTATGCTCTCTACCTCTCAAATGTTCTCCGATTTTTTTTTTGTTGGGAGAGATGTCGTTGTAGTCCTCTTCTTATCGTTGTCTATTTGTACTAGCTTCTCCTAGGGCCTCCAGCTGTCCTTTCCTCTGACCCCTTCCTGCTTCTTCTGCCACCATGATCACTGTTCATACGGCGCTGCCGTTGCCATGATCTCTGGCGGCTTGGTGCTCCACCTTCTAGGATTGCTGCAGGTGTNATGCTCTCTACCTCTCAAATGTTCTCCGATTTTTTTTTGTTGGGAGAGATGTCGTTGTAGTCCTCTTCTTATCGTTGTCCATTTGTACTAGCTTCTCCTAGGGCCTCCAGCTGTCATTTCCTCTGACCCCCTCCTACTTCTTCTGCCACCATGACCACTGTTCATACGGCGCTGTCGTTGCCATGATCTCTGGCGGCTTGGTGCTCCACCTTCTAGGATTGCTGCAGGTGTCAGGGGTTGTCCCCCTGGACACGTGGTTCCCTTTGTTCATCCAAAAATAGCTTGGATTGGGCTTTTACTCTCCAAATCGTCTTATAGTTTGAGCTGGACCTGGACTGCTGGGATGTAAGCTTTTGCTAATGCCAGATACCGCTTTTCTGCTTCGGACCTCTTGGGCTGATCAAGCGTCTGGGCCATCAAGGCCTGGCTTTGAGTTTCATTCGTATCAGTTGCCCCCCAACCCCAGGTCATGAAGACGTTATCGTTTCTGGTCTGGGGTTAAAAATGATTTTTCTGGGCTTATTATGGGCTTTTGAAGTAATGACTGTGCCCGGCTATTGGTTCTAATCAGGATTAGGCCATGCTTCCATTTGCCCGGGATGATGGGATGGCAATGTACACGTGTCACCATCGGGTGAACTCGTGGAAACAGCATTTGGGGCTTGTCCTGTCACTTGCCTGTCACGAATTTAATGTTTCACACATACATATATGTCCTTTAAAAGGAAAAAAAAAAGGGGGGGGAAGGTCTCTTGGCTTTTTGTTCTGTGTTTCCGAGTCCCACTTTTCTTCGTGCTCCTTTCCCTTTCTGTGCATTCAAAGTGATTTAATCCAGAATCTTAGGCGACTTACGACATCCTTGTTTCTGGTTCTACTCTTCCTCTAGCGTTTCACTAGGTACGTCATTCTTCCTCTCTCCTTGCTATTTCGACATGGATCCATTTAACCCTCCTTCGTGAGGTTTTGGGTTTCGCTTCCTGATCTGGAGGTTTAGTTATTTTAGAGAGCACTCCGATGACCTTTCTTTCCTTTCGCGATTTATAAGTCATTCATTAGTGGCGAGGGTAGCCTTACTCAGGACCTGGTGTTTGAAACCTTTATTCTTGATGAATTGTGCCTTGCATTTCCCTTCCCTTCATTATGGTGTGAAGTCTGACCTTTTGATGGGAAAAATTTGTCGTTTCCTCTTATTCTTCCGAGTCGAAATCTGTTAGTGAGGAGACCACTACCGCTTCCTCTANGTTTCCTCTTCTTCTTTTGAGTCGGAATCTGTCAGTGAGGAAACCGAGGAGACCACTACCGCTTCCTCTAGTGGGCATTCTCTTTCCGTCGGTGGCGGAGCCCTTGAGTCTACTATTGGAGCCACATCCTCGATGCTTCCAGTCGAGGTTGCGCCTCTTTCTGCCTTGCCCCTGGTTCTCCGACCCGAACAAAGAAGAGGAAATTCGGGCCGGCTCCACCCCCTGTTTCTAAAAAACGAACTCGTCGCCAACCATCCTACCTGACTTATTGTGCGGAGAAACAACCTAGTTGTCTCGGCGATAAGGATTTGGAGGCGTTAAGGCGTGAGTATCACTTTCTTGATTTCGTGGACTTACATTCCCCCAGGAAGCACGAAAGGTGCAATTCTATTCTTCCCGAACTCACTTGTTTTTTTGAGTCTACATTCCGGGCTGGTCTTCGATTTTCTATCCACCTTTTTATCTGGAACGTCCTTGGTTTCTACAATGTCTGCCCTGTCCAGCTGTCCCCCAACGGTTAGGGCCTCCTGGTTGGTTTCCTTGTCTATTGGTTTGAGAGTGGGAACATTCCCCTCCCCTCTATACGAGAATTTATTTTTCTTTTTCAGTTGAAGTCTTCTCCCTCATCAGGTTTCTTGTATTTCACTAAACGACTAAAGGCGAAGACTCTGATCTCTGGGCTTCCCTCTTCCAATAAAGGATGGAAACCGAGGTTCTTTTTTACCAAGGGCGATTCCTGGGAGTTGTCGAGGGAGCATGGCGACGTTCCTCGTGTTCCAAGATCTTGGGGGGTCCTAAGGAACACTTGTAAGGCTAATCTACCAGCCGCATTCCCCTTTTTTATCTTCTTTTCTCCTCATTTTCTTTGTTTTTCTAATTTTTGATCTAATTTATAGAATTCTGCCTAGTACTTGGCACGGAGGAGGCAACCCGAATTACTAGAATTGAGGTCTTTGGGTTGAGGGACTTCTTCAATTTGGTGACCGACGAAAACCTCGCTAAACACGGGCTTGGACCACCCATTATTCGAGCTTCAGAGGCTACTCCACTTTCTGTCTCTCAGTCGGGCAACATGAACCAAGATTTGATCATGGCGGTGTTCTTAGATACCGAGCAGTCGAGAAAGATGAAGATATTGGAGAAGGGAAGCCAGTTGCTACCAAAGGAGGCATTGGCCACTAGGCCCATACCCACTTCTTTGGGACAAAAAAGTGGAGTCCTCCCTCCCCGAGGGGATGCTGTCGTGCCCCTGCCTCCTCCCGCACCCTCCAAAGGTGACACCGGCTCGGAGGGGGCTTCAGCGGATAAGCCTGGCTCTTCGGTCCCCCATTCTGTCTTAGCTGAGATAATTCCTCCGAAGGGGGAAAGAGGGGAGTCCGGCCCTCCTAAGTCTAAGGTGCGTGGGGGTGGCTTTCTTCACGATCCTGAAGCCGCAATGGCTGCTCTATCAGAGCTGATCTCTACGTCGGATCCTCAGTCGGTGATAGAGGTTCCCTTTAAAAATAAGGTTCACCATACCATCCAAGGTATGGCTAAGGTATCTTCTTGTTCCTTTTAATTACTCAAGTCATTATTGAGTTCTTTTCCCATTTTTCGCGTTGGTTGATCCTGTTCTCTTTTTTGTAGTCGCTTGCATGCGTGAAGATGTTGGATATTCATCATGAGCGGGATCTCCAAAAGGCCTAGGATACTCTTGATGCTATGACGGTCAGCAAGGATGCTATCGAGGGTAAGCTGCAGGTTTTGGTTTTCGATGTCTTAGAATTGAAGAGGATCAATGATGAGTTGAATTCCCGCCATCAGGACCATATTGCGCTCAAAGAATCGCAGATCGGGGGTTTATAGGCTAAGCTCAAGGCTAAAGATGCAAACCTCACGGCCAAGGACGACGAAATCAAAGCCAAGGCTACAAACCTGAAGGCCAAGGATTCGAAGATGTTGTCTTTGCGGGCTCGAGTGTCTGAGCTATTGAAAAAGTGCACCTCAGCCTTTGTGGATGGGTTCCTAAACTGTAGGGACCAGATAGAGGATGCTCATCCGGACCTCGACTTGTATTCCTTTGCGCCGCGTCTTAAGTTCAAGAAGAGGGTTGTGACTATTGAAGAGGTCGTGGTGCCAGGGGCTAAGGGGGCTTTCGTTTATGAGGAGCCCGAGGCCTCGACTGAGAAGACAGACGAGGGAGTCGGCGGTAGTGGTAAGGCGGCTACCTGAGGTGGACTCGTGGTTGCTTCTCCCTTTTCATTTTTGGTGATTCGATGAGGATCTTTGTAGTACTTTATCTTTGTAATTTTCAGTTTAGAACGACTTCTTACTAGGAATGTCGTTGTTCTCTCATTGCTTGTAAACGATATCTTCCTCTCTGGTTCTGTTGAATGACAATGATGATGTCGTTTGCTG